CAGATGGGTGACCAAGGTGGGCCCAGAGAGGAAAGCCCCTCACCCAGGGTCACACACCCAGCCTGGCTGCAGACAAGCAGGGGTGAAAGGTTTACTCCTCAAGGCCAGGGTGCCTCCTGGCAAGAAAAGCAGGCCCCTCTCCCTCCTCCTTTCCCAGGGCAGAGGTGGGGGCGGGTGGGAATGTCAAGTTTAGGGGTAGCCTTGATGAGCAGTGTGACTTGTGGGGCCTGGGTCACTGTGGGCTTTGATGAGTTTGGAGAGGAGGCTTCAGCTAATCCAAGGTCAGCAGCCACATTGGCTGAAAAGCTACCTTTCCATTAGCCTTGTGGCCTCCCCACCCCAAGGAGCCACATATGGCCCCATCCCCATGTGGCAGCTCCCACTCTCTGCAACAAGGATTCAGGGAGCTGTGGAATTCACACTTCCTGAACTGCCCCCACACCCACTGCACCCCGCGGCCCCACCTGTCTGGGTCATTTTCTCCACTGGAAATCCAGTGGGCAGCAGGAGCCCACTCTGCCTTCAGGAGAAAGCCCAACTCCTAACATGCCCACGTCACCCACATGCCCCAGCCCCTGCCTGCCTCCCGGATCAGAAGCCCTCTCGTACTCAACACGCCAGCAGCACATAACCACCCATGGCCCCAGAACAAGCCACACCATCAGCACATGCTGTTCCTATTGCCTGGAAAACTCTTCCCTGTCTCAGTTGGCCTCATCCCTCGGCGTTAAGACCCTGCTCATCTGGCAAGCCTCTCTTGGCTGCCCCAGGCGGGGTTAGGGGCCCCTTCTCTGGCCCCCATGGCCTCCAGCCCTGTAGCCATCACACTACTTGGAAATTGTCAGCTGACCTGTCCGTCTCCTCTCCAGGCTGGCCTGTTGAATTCCGCCTGCTGGCCAGGTTGTTGGCACTCAGTGGTCGAACACTCAAATAAAGGAGTCCCACCATGTGACACTTAATTCTACCGGAGGAGGCTTGGGTGCTGCCCTAGCCTGGATACTCACTTGCTGGGTGACCTTGGACAAATCTCTTGCCCTCTCTGAGGTTGCCCTGCCAGCCTCCATTGGTTGGAGGGGGTTCGACATGATGCCAGGCAGGGCAGTGGTGTAAGGGACCCTTACGTGGATAGGACTGCTAGCCTGCCTGAGGCTCGCGGCTGTCCATGTCCACTCAGTCTCTCTGGATAGCAGATGTCCAGTGGCCCCATGGTCTCTGGGGCACAGCTCTGGGCAGCCTGTCCACCAGGGAGGATGATCTGTTGTTGGTACTTGAGGCCTGGCAGTTTGGACATGGGGCCTAATGGGGATGGATGGTACCGGGGTTCAGAGAGGCAGAGGTCAGCTCCCTCCTAAACAACTATTGAGCTTACAAGAGATTCCGTGTGGCAGGGCGGTGATCCTGACAGATGTCCGTAGGTACCTGGGAAAAGACTGCTTTTGATGGAGGCCCAAATGGATATTAACGTTTATGGGCTGTGCAAGCACTTCTCAGAGAGTAATGGCCTTTCTTCCGTGGTGACTCAGGGCCCAGAGCCCCTGATCCAGGTATCTGAGTGCCATGGTTGAGCACGGTGCTGTTCCTCACCAACTCCTCTCTACCCACCCTGAAGGCCAGGCCGTCGGAATTACCACCTCCCGGCCCAAATCCTGACTGACTTCCCCAGAGATTGGTTTCAAGTCCACCTGAATGGAAGATGCATGGCCTTGACTGGCGTCTCGGTCTTTCATTAAGTCTATCCTAACCCTTAACCCTGATTTCTGGGCTCCTGCTGGTGTGTTTGCACTGTTCTGCCCGCCAAGGGGTTTCCAGAGGCAAATGCTATAACTCAGATACTCTCAGAGTTAGGAAAACAAAAGAGCTTTTAACCCCCAGACACAGATCCAGCACATTTAAAAGCTCTCCATTGGAGTTTGAAGACAGGTTTAGAGATATGTCTGTCTTTGTGGTCTTTGAGGAATTCTTGTCTGCTCTCTCCCTGGCTCCTGATGGCTGGCTTTGCCTTGTCGGCTCACCTCACCCCTGTGGCCCACCTTGCTCATGTCTTGCCCCTGCTCAGGCCAACTGACCCCTTTCAAAACTCACCCAGGCTGCCCTCGCCCTCGCATCTCACCACTTAATCCCCCTGCAAGGCTTCCCTCTCCCCTATTCTTCCTCTCGGTCACTTGTTTTATCTGAAGTTAAACTCTTCCTCTGGAAATCAATATGCTAAAAATAGTTAACACCAAGATCCTTGGTGAGAAGGCAATGCCTCTGGATGGCTTCTCCTCATGCCCCAAGTGTCAAGATGGGAGACTGGGGAAGCTTCTACCTGGACATCTCTGGAAGCAAGTGAACCCTCAACTCGTACCTCTTCATGTCCCCTGTGACGACTGTGGACTGTTCCCTGGACCAGTGTAGACTCCTGCTTGGTGGGAGCTTGGGGAGGGCGGGGTCACATGCATCTCGGTCATGGTTGGGTTGCACAGGGCATGGCTCATTGTCGTAAATTGTTATTGAACAGCTACCAGCTCCTGTGCTAAATGCTCTGCATTTGGTAATAGAAGCCTACGTCAACCCCATGGACCTCTAAAGTAGACAAGCGTCTTTTTGGCTGTCCTTCCTATGGAGAATTCCCCATCTCCTGAGGACTGGTAGGAGGCAGAGACCAATTCCCACTGTAAAAAAACCCGTTGCCGTCGAGTCGATTCCGACTCATAGCGACCGTACAGAACTGCCCCATAAGGTTTCCAAGGAGCAGCTGGTGGATTCGAACTGCAGACCTTTTGGTTAGCAGCTGAATTCTTAACCACTCTGCCACGAGGGCTCTCCTGTAGCTGCTAAAAACAGCAGCCACTTGCTTTCCCAGCCTTGCAGTGAAGGCTGTAGTCATGTGATCCAGGATCCACCAATCAGAAACACCCACTGACTTTGAATTAAGAAGTAGGGACAAAGGGAATCCCTTCAAAGGGAACAGTGAGATTTCACCCCAGGCCAGCACCGGCTGTGATCCTGGGGCGGGTGTTCGTGGGCAGGTTTAGCTGTGTCCAGTGCTCAGTGGCAGCAGCCCTGGGGCAGTGGAGTTCTCACCAGGCCAACGTGTGGCCTGGTGTGGGAGGGGCTCTGTTACAGGCTGCATAGCCCTGAGCTGGTTTCTTGGCCTGCCAGTATCCCTTCAGTACATTCCTTTTCTGCTGAAATCAGCCACTTTCTGTTGCTTGCAGTTAAGACCTCTAACTGATGGAAGTGGGTATCCCCACTTCATAGCTGAGAAAACTGAGGTTTAGAGAACTTAAATAACTTGCCCAAGGTCACACAGCAGGACTGACAGCCACTCCCCGGTCTGTCTGTGGATGATGGAGCCCAAGCGTGTAACCTCTCTGGTGGAAGGGCTTGATTAAATGCCTATCAGCTGAACAAGTGAACTGCCTCCTCCCCTTCTCTCTGATCACTCTAAGATAGGCACAGTCCAGTCATGGTTCTGAAGGACAGTTCTCATCCCGTCTTTCCTCTTTCTGACACCTTCAATAGCTCCCCAGTGTCTGCCCCAAACCTTGCAGCCTGGGATACTGACCACTCTACCCTCATCTCTTTTGTGGGGCACATACCCTAGAGGACTCTCTGTTCCCTGAATATGCCATGTGCTTTCTGACTCCCAGGCCCTCATTATGCAGTTTCCTCTTCCTGGAATATCTTCTCTTTCCTGCACACTCGGAAATCCTACCCATCCTCTAAGGCTCATCAGAAACACCTCGTTCTCCAGGAAGTGTGTTCAGAGCCTCCCCCTACCTATGCTGACAGGGATTCCCTCTCCCCTAAATCCCCAAAGAAACTAAGTTTCTAGGAAGAACCAGAACTGAGCTTCCCCATTTCTGTACTTCTCTAGGACCCAGTACACAGTAGGTGCTCAAACATGTCTGTCCAATCAAAATTACAGGTGAAGCAGAGAATCTTTAAAGAACTAGTTCCTATGGGTCCTGCTTTCCGTTGTCACTGGGTGTCCCAACCACAGCCACCTTGGGTTCAGGGGTGGCAAACAGCTTTCAGGGTGGTGCACAGACCTCCAAGGATGGCGGTGCAGGCTGTTCACTGCTTAAGGGCACCCGGCCCAGGGGACAAGGTGGGTTGAAATATGGCCCCCATCTGCCTCCTTGCCAAGTCATGCACCGATTGTGGTCTACTCCTGCCCAAAGGAAGGGACATGGATTTTTTAAAACGCGCAAAAAGTCACCCGATGGCCACTGGTAGGTCCACCTCCAAGCCTGAGCCACAGGAGGGAGTCAGAAGCCCACCAATTTCTCATGTCCCAGTCAGGAATCGTCTGGCTCTCAAATGGGTTTGCAAACTACAGCCCACGGGCCAAATCCTGCCTGCTGCCTGTTTATCTCAGTATCTTTATTGAGGTATCATTCAGATACCATAAATTCATCATTTAAAGTATACAATTCATTGGTCTTTAGTATATTCACAGAGCTTTGCAACCATCGGCCCAGCCAGTTTTAGAACATTTTCATCACCTCAAAAACAAACCCCATATCTTTTACCTGCTGCCTGTTTTTTGTAGGGAATGGTTTTAACAATTTTTTAAAAATCAGAAGACTATTACATGAAATTCCCATTCCAGCGTCCATACGTACAGTGTTACTGAACACAGCCACGTCCGTGCGTTTACGTGTTGTCTCTGGCTGCTTTGCCACTACCTGGGCAGAGCCGAATAGTTCCAACAGAGACTGTCAAGACCACATGGACTGAAAGCCTCCAATACCAACTATCTGGCCCTTTGCAGACCCCTCCACTCTTCCCATTTCAGAGTTCTTTGGGGAGATTATGGCCCAGTCTTGTGGGGGTTAGGGCACTAGGTACCTGGGCAGAGCCTGTCCAAGGGAGAAACACTGGGGGAGAGGCTGCTGAGAACACCCCGGGTTCATCTGTATGGCCTTCCAGGCCACACCAGGGGCCCCCACTGTCCGCACAGCTGAGAGGAAGCCAGGTCTGGCTGAGCTGCCACCAGCCGGGAGACTCACCGTCCAGCCGCCGCCGTCAGTGCTCATGTCGCAGTAGACCTGGAAGCCGGCAGGATAGTGGGTGGGGAAGACCGAGTAGATGCCATCCTCCTGCTGTCCGCTCAGGAGGACATCCAGACAGTCGCGGGGTCGAGAGCCTAAGGCAGGGAAGACCAGTCAGGGACCGCTGGGCCCAGGCTCCTTAGTCCCCGCCCACCCCCCCTCCCTCTGACGCTATCCCTGGGTTTCTCTGACTTTTCTGTCCACCGGGCAATGTCCCATGTAGCCGAGAACGCAGGTCCAGGCTGAAGCGTTGGGTCTGCCATTCCTTGGGTGAGTTTGGGTGACTGAATTACCCTCTCTGAGCTTCACTTTCCTCATTTGGGAAATGGGCATCATGACCCCACCTTGAAGGGTATGGGAGAAGGCTCAATGCGAGGGTGCAGATAATGTGCTCAGTACTGCCTAGTCCATAGTAAATCCTCAGTAAACAACACATGGCTGTGGGGTGGGGTGGGGAGGCCGGAGGGTAAAAATGTGGATGGCCGTGGGACCCAGGTTTGGGCTCCACATGTCTTGTAACAGGGTAACCCTCATCCCAGCTTTCCCACTCCCCAGGGCTGGGCACCTGGGTCACCCCAGGGAGGCAGCCCCACCACTCACCATTGGCACAGCCCCGGGGCCGAGCTCCCCTGGCAGGCGCCCTCTGAAGATCGGCCTTGACTCGGGGTCGGCCCAGCCCCCGGTCGCTCTGCAGGGCGTCCAGGACATCGCTGACAGAGTTGATCAGGTGAGCCATGTGGCCTTGGCTCTCAGAGAGAAGCTGCAGGGCACAAGAGGTGAGCAGAGGAGGGGGGAGGCTCCGGTGGACTTCAGGGACCACAGCGCATCACCTGCCAGGGTGCCTTCCTGTGGTGTCTGTACCCTCCCTGCGGCAGCGGCGGGCTCCAGGTGTAACAGTAGCCCCAGCCCTCCTCTGGGTCCGAGGGGCCAGCTGTGCTCTGACGGAGCCTACTGGTCTGGGACCGTGAGCACTCAGAGGACAGAGGGCTCAAGTAAAAGGGGCCAAGGTGGCTCCAGCAGGCACCTGCTGCCCCTGCTGCCCCCCAAGCTCTGTTCTTTGGCCATTTCTGTGCATTCAGCCCAGTCGTATGACTTTGGCGGGTGGCTTCTCACCTCTGCAAACAGGGCTAATGAGACCTCCCTGGATGAATTGCTACAGGGACAACATGGGCACAGCGCTGGGCCCACAGTCCATCTCATTATGTGAATTTATACAGCACTTTACAGGTTACAAATCATCCTCCCTTCCGTGGTCTTTCTGAGTCCCATTCAAGGCCATGAAGGCAGGGTGATTCATCTGCACCTGACAGATGGGGACCCCGAGGCTTGGGGAGGGGCAGGGGCCTTAGTGCAGCCCCTGTGCTCAAGCTGGGCCCAGAAATGAGGATGGTGATACCTCACCCACCCCAGTCACCCGCATGCAAACTTCGCTTTGACTTCCCTCAGCTCTCTGATGTCCACACCTCACCAGACCCCACCCCCACACACTGTTGTCATCAGCTAGGACTTTAGTTGTCTCCTTGATACAGATGGGGAAACTGAGGCCCAGAAGGAGAGGTCCCCGAGAATGAAGGACAGCATGGGACCAGGACTCAGTCCAGTTCCCCAGGGCTGACTGGCAGAAACAGAACGCAGGGTCGAGATCACTGTCCAGGGTGGGGGCAGCACAGGACCCGGGGGCAGTGGTTTGGACCCAGACCCTGGTGTTGGTTGCCTAGGTTTTGACTCTATCTCCCTCCCCCACGCACTATCCATGAGATTCCACCTCACTTTCCGCCTCCATACACCAGGGTAATGAGACTTATGTTTCTGGGGGAACGGGGCGGAGAGCCATGATAACATGTGTCCGAGCCTACGTGGTCAGTAATGTTACCTATTTTATTGCTCCCACCACCAGGGCCCCCTCCTATCACTGCGGCCCGTCTCTTCTCATGAAGTGCAGCACGGTTTCTCCCAGGCCTGTCACCTGTGCCTGCTGCCAGAGGGGCCTGGGGTCCTTGCCTCCCCGCTCTGGGCCCCAGGAAGCGGCAGGGGGAGGCAGGGCCATGGGCAGACCGCAGCCGGCTGGCCAGCGAGCACGGAGCTGGCTGGGTCTTTACATGCCGGATCTGTCACTGGGCGGATAACACCCCATCCAGGGAAGGAAAATAGAAATATAGAGTAATGGCAGTTTACAAAGTATGATTCTCCAGCTCATCCGAGGCAGGCGCCCTGCAAAGCTTTTCGTTTCCCTGTCAGCTTCCCCTCTGCTGGGCAGGTGGTTCAGTGAGGGCTGAGCCTAGGGGCGCAGAGGTGCGCACAGGGGCAGGGAGAGCCTGGCCAGCTGGGGTTCCTCCCTGGGTTTCACTGCATAGTCCTGTAGACGGGCCCTTGGAGGAGCCCCACAGAAGGATGCATGTGGGTAGGGGGTGAGGCTAGCCCACAAGGCATGGGTGGCAAAGGATCTCCTTGGGCTCATGATTCAGTGGTTTCAACTACAACTTTCCTGCCTGAGAACCATCCTTCTGAATCGGCTCAGCCACAGAGGAGAAGCTTGGCCGACACATTCTAGAAACTCAGGCACGGCCCCTTCTTGCTAACAGGCAAGAAAGTCCTCAGTTTAAACAAGCAAAAAATTAAACTTGAAAATGTACATATAAGCATGACCCGAATTAATGGGGGAGTCAGTCCCTGACTGCTGAGCTGTGGAGACGCAGCCGGGAGGAGTTTGATGAGGCTTTTAGAGGCAACAAAGTCAGAGTCGCTGCTTCCCACACTTCTTAGTTGTGGGACCAAGCCTAAACAAGGCACCCTGCCGATCAGAGCCTCCGTCTGCCCCTCCATAGAATGAGGTAATAATCATACCTACCTACTAGGGTCATTGTGCAGCGAAGAGTGTAACCCAGGGCATGGGATCAGCAAATAGTCGTTTTCACCATTACTATCATAAAAGCGAGCAAGTCCCTGGGTGGTGCAAATGGTTAAAGCATTTGGCTGCTAATCGAGAGGTTGGAGGTTTGAGTCCACTCAGAGGCGCCCCAGAAGAAAGGCCTGGCGATCTACTTTCAGAAAATCAGCCAGTGAAAACAGTTTTACTCTGGCACGCACGGAGTCGCCGTGAGTCAGAATTGACTTGACAGCAACTAGTAAACCGGTATTATAAAAGGGTTTTAAACGATGTCTCCCCATAGCTCTAAACTTCAGTTTCCAATTTCCACCATAACAACAGAAAATAGGAAATAATAACAGGCAGTGAGCATCTCTCCCGTGCCAGACACCAGCCAAGCCCATTTGCACAGTATGGTGCTCACAGCGTCTCCTCAGGGATGTACTGTTACCCTCATTTTATAGATGGGAAAACCCAGCCCAGAGAGGGGACAGGACCTGCCCGAGGTCCCACAGCTGGAGGTGGATTGGATCCCAGGTCTGCTGACTTGAACTCTCAGCGGCCTCAGAGGTTAGTGCATATGTGAATCACCTGGGTTGCATGTTAAAATGCAGATTCCTGCCCTCTCCCTCTGTTTAGGATCCAGGGGATGGGGCCCAGGAACTTGCCTTTTAAGAAGCACCCCTGGCAATCTGGCCCAGGGTACCCAAGGGCGTATTTCTGAGGGACCCAAGTCTCAATTAGCTGAGGGACCGGGAAACTTCGGGAAGAGGCGTTAGGAGCCACGGCTGGCTGCTTCCGAATGAGACACAAAGACAAATTGTCTCTGAAATCATCCTGAGTCTCTGGGAAATGAGTCAAATTAAACATCTTTTGAGAAGTAAATATATCAGGTGAGCCAGAGCACTCCTGTGCCCCAGAAAAGCTATTAGTCTTTCAAGAACAGCACTATGCCTCTTCATAGGTTATGGGGCTGGGGACTCCAAGGCTCTGCCCATCCCACCCTCCCCATCACCCAGACAGCATTAAGAGTGAGCATTTATGGGCTGGGCTCAAGCTGACCTGGGACTGAGTGTTTGGAGAGAGAGGTGGGGACTCAGATCACCCAGAAAGTCTGGAGGTCTCCCCGAGCCTTGCTGACAACGCCTGGGGAAGTCACAGATGGAGGGGGCAGCAAGAAGTCCGACTAAACACCCCCACCCCGCCCCGCGAGCAGGAAGCTGCCTTCCCGTCAGTCACCCAGACAGGGTGATGAGGACTGTAATTTCTCCAGCTGCAGCCTTCAGAGGGGGGGAAAGGCCCATTGCTCACCAGCTGTTGGGTGTGACCAGACTGCTTGGTCATCCAAGTGTCTAGATGGGGGGACAGGGGGCAGATGGAAAGGACTGGGGCAGCTGGGCTGGCAGGAGTGGGGGGCAATGTGGGAGGCAAGCTTCCCACCCTCTACGGATCTGAGTTAGAGGGGTGATGGGGTGCAGGGCTGGAGGCTGGGCAGGGCTCCAGCAAATCAGATTCTAGGCTGACCTAGCCACTGAACCTTGAACGAATCACCACCCCTATCTGGGCCTCAGTGTTCTCTTCTGGAAAATGGGGGAAGGCAAATGAGATGGTCCTAAATCCCTGATTCCATGAAGGAGAAACTTCTTGCTGGTGTGCGGGTGTGGTCTCTGGGCGAAAACTGGAAACCCTTCACCTACACCCACCTGACACTTGCCAGAACCCCGGCTTGGCTCAGGAGTGGGGGTGGGGATGGTTTGGGGCTGGCTAAGGGTCCAGCTGGGCTCTCTCAACTGGTGTCTCCTCGCCTGGAAAGCTGTGGGCATCACTTGGCAGTGGGCTAGGGGAGCAAAGGAGAGGGCTGCAGCTCTCTCTGGTATGGTGCAAGGTTGGGAAGCGGCTTGCCACTGACCAACCTGTGTCCTTGAGCAAATCACTTCCCCTCTGGGCCTCAATTTGCTCGTCTACTGATGGGGCACTGTTCCCCTCACCTGCATCTCACGTGCAGCATGGAGTGCCTGGGAAACACCACCACTACCCCCTAACCCCAGGTCCTGGGTCTGGCCTGACTGTCGAATGCCCCAGGGCCACCAGGGCAGCATGACAGGAGAGAAACTGATTTTGAGTCCTGGCGCTGCTACCCAAGAGCTGTGTGGCCTTGGGTGAGAGTCTGTACCTCTCTGGCCTTATTTGCTCATCTGTGAATGGGAATAACCCCAGCCTAATGTCCCAAGCACTTAGGGATTTAGTGAGGTCGTAGACATCAGGTGCCAGCACAGGGCCAGCAGGCAGTGACAGCAACCCCATGCCCCCGCCAAGACCCTGAGGTGCAGAGGTTGCCCCTTACCTGGATGAGGCGGCCCTGCTCGCTCTGCAGGGCGTTGAGTCCCTGGCCCAGCATGCTATGCCCCTTCCGCAGCCCCACGCACTCCGCCTGCAGCTCTGAGGCCTGGGCCAGCAGCTGAGGCAGCTGGTCTGCCAGCGTGTCCAGCAGCGCCTGCTCCTGCTCGCCCGCTAGCTGCGGCCTAGCCTGGCTCTCTGTCAGTGCCTGTAGCACCGAGGCTTGGGCGCCCTCCAGGCGGGTGAAGCCGTCGGCGAGGTCAGGGCAGCGCGGGTCGATGAGGATGCTGAGGCGCGAGCTGTCGGCCCTCTCCACGGTGACCAGGGCGCTGTTGGGCCCAGCTGGCCCGGTGCTGACGATGGGTGGGGGGGCCGTGCCCGGCGTGTGTGTGTGGTTCAGGAAGAGCACGGCGCCTGTGACAGCCACAGCCAGCAGCACGGCCAGTGAGAGCAGCACGGTGCACAGCACGTAAGCGCAGCTCGGCCGCTACGGGCCCGCACAGGCACACAGACAGACAGATGGAGAGAAGGGACACGGCATTAGAAACAGGCCTGGGCCTCTGGCCTTTGAGAGGCCCGGACAAGGCTCAGAGGACCCCCTTCCTGGGGGTGAGGGAAGGGAGTTACTGAGACAGGCAGAGATGAGAGAGAGAGTCCCAGAGGGAGACAGAGAGATGGGGCCACACACACAGATGTACCAAGAGTGAGTGAGCAGGACCACAGATGGAGAGAGAGAGACCCAGAGGGAGTGACACAGAGGAGAAAGGGAAATATGCTGAGCGAGAGAGAGAGGGAGACAGAGATGGAGAGGGACGAAAAAGAGAGACCGAGGCAGAGAGACAGGGAGACTGATGGAGAGAGATGCGCCTGCCTCTGCCTTGCCCCGTGTGTCCCGCGCGGTGTGGGCACAGTGACCCCTTCCCTCCTCTCCCTTTTGTCACCTCTGGCTCCTGCAGGTCACAGGTATTGAGGAGGGGAGACAAAACTGTAGACATAGTGTCTGTACTCAGGAATGGCCCCACTTGCTGGGGAGAATGTACCCATGATGTATTTAGGCAGCCAGTAGAGACCAAGAGCGTCAGGTGGCTGCGATGGCTGGGCCCCGGGTGTGCAGGAGCTGAGGGTTTGAGGAAGCCAGGAAGAGGCCAGGGAACTCTGAGGGTGGACAGGAGGTGGGCATGGATTTAATGCTATCCCTGGAGCCCTCCCAGGTCTGCTAAGGGCTGGAGGTGATGACTCTGGCTCTGCAGCCAGATGGGACTCTGGGTTTAGTATCCTGCACTGCCATTTCCATCTGTGTGACCTCAGGCGAGGGCCCTCACCTCTCTGAGCCTCGGTTTCTTCACTTGTAAAATGGAGGCAATAATGACACCCACCTCTCCGGATTATTGAGAACCCACAGGTACCTGTAATTCGGACTCAGGAAGAGAGATCAGGAACAGTGACGATGTTCAAACCGTCACACTGTCACAGCAGAGCAAGTGCCTTGGGGGTAGTGAGCACCCATCACTGAAGGTCCCTTCCAACCTGGGGCATCCCCATCCCAGGAATCCCCAGCATCCTCCGCAGGTCCCCAAGGCTAGCTCTCCCGTCTCGTGGGCACAGCATGGCTGACTGAGCACCTCCTCCCTCTTTCCCTCTTTCCTTCCCCTGCCTCCTCTCCTTCTTCACAGAGCTTGCCCCTGGCAGGACAAACACCAAAGAGCTGGGCAGCGTGGCACTATGGCCACCCTGGAGAAAGGGACCTCCCTACCTCCATCCAGGCCGGGGCTGGGACAATGGGGCGCTGGGAATCCCAGAACAGGGCAATGAGGCAAAACGGGAATAAATGGAGGCAGTGCAGGCATGATAAAAACTGGGTCCCGGGACCGGCAGGGCTTACATGGGTCCTCATGACAAAGGAAGTCCAATTAAATGAGGTGTGGTCCCTAAAAGAAGCCCTGGTGGCACAGTGGTTAAGTGCTTGGCTGCTAACTGAAACTGAAAGGTTGGCAGTTCAAACCCACCAGCCGCTCTGCGGGAGAAAGATGTGGCAGTCTGCTTCCATAAAGATTACAGCCTTGGAAACCCTGTGGGGCAGTTCTACTCTGTCCTACAGAGTCGCTATGAGTCAGAATTGACTCAACGGCAGTGGGTTTATGGGCGGTCCCTAAAGCACGTAGCAGGGAGCTTGATCCACCAGAGGCGCCACAATGTGGTAGCAAATGCTTTGGGGGCCCAGATTCACTGGACCCAATCACTCACAGCCCAAAGGGAGCATGGAGAGCAGCCACTGAGCATTTGGAACCTGGGGAACTGGAGGCCCAGAGAGGGTGAGCGGCTTTCCCAGAGTCACAGAGCAAACTGGAAGCAGAGCTCAGACTGGGCCCCATGCCTCCTGCCTCTCTCCCAGGGCCAGGCTGTATTTCTTCAATTCTAAGACACACACTTCCACCCACATTTTAAACTTTCTGAATCTGAGATACATCTTTAAGTGAGTTAGTATATTAAAACACTTGGAACTGAGCCCAGCACGTTGTACGTGTGCAATAAATATTAGTGGTTTTTATTATCTCATGATCAATGTCTACAGCACATCTGGAGAGGACTTCTTTTTTTTCCACCCAAAGTGTTATTTCTGTGTGTATTTGATGCTGGAGGGCACCTTCTCCTTTTTCATATTTTCACATTCCCGACATTGGGGAGCACCTTATACTTGCAATTGGCAGCTTTTTTTTCTGCCTTTGTGATACATAAAATAGTGATGACTCTTACATCATTGCATCTGACTGTCGAGAAAACACGGTAGAGCAAACAGCTTCCTTTCCATAAATTCGAATTCTACAAGTCTCTCCTGAATCTCCTGCTTGGCACCAGAGGAGGATGGGGGTGTGAGGTGGAAGTGAACAAGCAAACCCCCAAGGAAGGGGTCTCTTTTGTTGGCTGGTGAGAGGGAATCCCTTGTCCTGTCCCTGCAGTGATGGTGCCCCAGTGATCCACCCCTCCTCTCTCCACACACTGCCCAGGTTCCTTGAGGGCCACATGTCATACCAACCCAATTTATACCAGCCAGACCAGAACATGTTACGGCTCCCCTCGGCTGGCTCTGCACACTGCTTCCTTTGTCTGGAGCTCCCTTACCACAGGCCCTACTTGTTCTCTTCCTTCAGGTCTCAGTTGACAAGAAACATCACCTCTTCCAGGAAGCCTTCCTTGACTGTCTCATCACCCCTCCCCTCCCCCCAAGTTGTGAGGGACTCCTCCTCTGTGCTCCCACAACCCTCTGTGCTCCCCACTGGTGGTGCTTATCAAGACTGATATTCATCATCTTTTACTTTATTCATTCAAACATCCATTCGACATTCACTGGGTCTCATCATGAACCAGACTCTAGGCCACTCTCTGAGGAGGTAGCAGTGGACAAGTCAGAGCTGACCCCTGCTATAAGGGAGTTTATATCCCAGGAACTGTGACTCTTAACCTTTTTGGGGGTGTGGATTCCTTTGGGAATCTGGTGAAAGCTGTGGACACAATTTCTGGGGACTGGAGGCCAGCGAATTCAGGTCCAAGAAACTGGCCCTAGACTGTGAGCTCCCTGAGGGCAGGGACCTAGTGGGTAGTGTCCTGCTCACCACCAGACACAGAGCAGTCCTGATGGCTGTCTGCTGGAAGGAAGGAGAAAGGGAGGAAAGCAGGCAGGGAGAAAGGGCAGACGGACTAGATCACGTCTCCGTGACAATGCTGGCATGGGGCGGAGGTGGAGGCATTGCTGGGATCTGCAGCATTTGCCATGGCAGAGGCTCAAGACCTCCCTGCTAAGCCCTGGATCCCCAGGCAGAGCCACCTCTGACTCTGTGCCCAGATGGTATGGCATGGAATAAAGGTAACCTCCAGGCTGCCCCCAGCCCCCAGTCACCACAAGACAGCAGCTTCCAGACAGGCTGGCATCACAATCTCGCCACCATTCCGTGAGCACTTAGCATGTTCCCACGACTGAAATCTCCAAAACCCCCTGCGGTTGATGCTACAGCTGAATTCATTTTGCAGATAGGAACACTGAGGCTTAGAGAAGGGAAGACCTTTGCCCAAGGTCACACAGGGAGTCAGCGATAAAGCCAACACTTCAACCAGGGGCTGCGTGGCTCTGGAATCATGTCCATCTATGCCAGGGCTGCTTGCCGAGCTATCTCCTCTGCCTAAAGTATGGCTGGGGTTTGAGTGACTAATCTCTGTGTCAGCAAGTCCCTGCCTTGCCCGCTCCCCAAGTACTTCCATCCAGAGAGACACCTTGCCCCGAGCAAGCGACTCTGAGCGCATCCTCAGACTGCATGGCATTAAGGTCCCCCGGCTGGTGAGGCTGGGGTTGGCCTGGCAGAAGGGCCAGCATCTCCCCTCTCTGTCTCCAGGATGCTGGCCCTATCGGGTGCCCTCTTTCCACCTCCGTCCCAGCCACTGCCACTGCGGGAAAGGCAGAGGGTAAGGAGGGGGAGAGGGGCTGGAGAACACTGCAGGGGGTCTGCGGAGGGGCAGCGGGTGAGCAGGGGATGACGGAGCTTGGAGATGAAACAGGCCACTCAGCAGAGGAGAATTAGTCTTTGGAGACCACCTTAAAGATGAAGTACTGTTCGCTTTTATAGGCTGTCTTTTACGTGCCTCGCAAAGAAATCTGCCTGAGATAATACGGGGGGGCTTTTGCAGTTTGCAGCCCAACTGAGTCAGCTGCGGGGCTGGAGCTTAGTAATTGGCCTTCGGCCTCAGCACAGTGAGGTGCACAGCCTGAGGTCTTCGGGAGGTGGTGGAGGCACACGAAACACCCCACCTCCCCAGGAAGGCATTTCGAGGCAGTGTGACATGTGAGGAGTCAGGATGCCTGGGTTCAAGACCCCCTTCTACCACTCACCACCTGCCTGAGCTCCCAGCTGCGGGGACCTGGCTTTGTTCCCTGGGTGACCCCCAGTGCCTGGCCCAGGGTCAGTGGCTCCCCAGGAAACCCTGGACATGGTAAAGACAAGGTGGGCTGGTGACAGGGTAGAGGCAGAAGGCAGACATCCCCAGAGGGTCCTCAACTGCAGGGCAACATCTGTGAAGGCTGCCTCCTCTGAGTCCCTACCCTCCAGCAGAGGCCCTGGGGGTCTGGCAAAGGAAAGGAGGGCTCAGAAGGAAGAGACTCACGCCAAAGTGCCCTGTTAAACAATCCTACCTAGCCCCACACCCTCCCCTTCTTCCTTGTTTTCTAAGGGAGCTGCTCTGCGGTATACCCCTGGCTGGACTGAGAGATCAAATTCCCTGGTGTCAAGTGGGAAGAAAAAAGTCTCCTCTCCCTGCCACCCTTGAGGAAGAGGCCAGGCAAGGTTTGACCCAGGCGCGGGCCGATCTGCACACCTCCCTGCTCTGTCTCCCAGGAGTGCCCTAGTTAAGGCAGGACAGCTGCTCATCACGACAGAAACACGTCTTGGGGCTTTGAGCTGGAAAACCAGCAGGGTTGAGCAGGGACTCTCTGGCACGGAG